TGTATCACTTTTTTTGTCTTTTTATATATAATTACATTTTGGTTTCTTTCAGGTATGCTGTGGTATTTACTTTTGATTGCTTATGTCCAAAATTATTTTGGCGCATATAAATGTGAGATCCTTGACCAACAATTTTGTGGAGTTTGCGGATATCGTTAATAGCAATAATTATGATATCGCAGTATCCAAGACCTGGCTGCATTGCAATATACATAGTGACGCTGTTAATTTGCATAATTATACATTCAGATGGTAGAGGAGGTGGAGTTGGAATATACATTAGCAAAAGATTTTCCTATAATTTTATAGGCATTGAAAACTGCAAATGTTGAACAATTTTGGATTCGTGTTATGGATCGTAATAAGGTACGAGTATTATTCGTGTTTGGTGCTGTTTATAAATCTCCTCATTCCCCGCTTGCAAATTTTTTAGATGATTTTGAAGATACGATGGGTGTCATATCTCCTATGCACAACTTAATATTTGCACTTGGCGACTTCAATATTGATATGTTTAAAGTTAAAAGTTATGATACTGTCCAATACATTTCTATGTTGGAATCGTTGGGATTGCATCAAATTGTCAAGGAGCCAACTCGCGTTACTCAGGCTACTTCAACCTTGATTGATCATATCCTGGTGTCTGATCTCTCGATTGTGCTGTCTTGTGATATAAATAGCTGTTGGAACTTTTCCGATCATGAGTTACTTGCTGGTAGTGCCAGTCTGGACCGTGTCTACATCTTCACATCACTTCCATCCCCATACTTTAAGTTTTAGAGACTATAGCAGCATCGACGATATAATCCCATTCTTTGATTTTGCACTGCGACAGCTCCCGTGGGAGGAGATATATGCATTGTCCGTAATTGACGAAAAAGTATCTTTCCTCTCCAACAGTATTCTGAGCATAGGTATTTGATAACTTTTTTCCTATGAAAACTGTCACATTTAAAAGACCTAAGGCACCCTGGTTAACAGAAAACATTAAATTTATGATGCACTTACGAGACAAAGCATATAGTCGCTTTAAAAGAACCAAAAAATTGGGACTACTACAAGTCTTTAAGGAATTTATTGCGCATTCTAAAAGCACGAAAAGAAAGCATATATGACAGATCTAAACTGTGGAAAGTTGTTAAAGATTTAGATACCTATATACAGAAAAGATAACGTTACCGTACCTGTACATCTAAGCAATCCAAACGATATAAATTCTTTTTTTCACTACTAGCGTCTGATGACATGATTATTAACCTTTTTTCCACTTGTAAAGTAGGCTTTCTCGGCATTTGTTCAAAGTGGTTAATAATTTTTTATTATTAACTAGTAGCATTGAATAAAAACACTATAAGAAGCCTAACGCTTATGGAAGAAAGCGCGACAAATCCCCTTGCACCCGCATTGGTTGTGATCACCGAACTCTGTTTGCGGTAAATAGGAGGAAAGCAAATTCTCATTCTTCTCAGTTCAAGAATCGACACTATTGACAGTGTTTCCATTATATTCTCAGTTCAATCTCTGTCGCGCTTTATTTCCACGGGGTTAGGCTTCTTATAGTGTTTTTATTCAATGCTAGTAGTCAATAATGAGAACTGTCACGCTGTCACTTTTAGAAAACACAACCCGAAATTTCGCTCAATGAACGTTTAGACAAGTTCTCTAAAACGAATAATTGCCACCATTCGCAATTTCCAGAGAAATTACATACCTAAAATTATCACATTTTGAAAAAATTCGAACGAAATACTCTTTGAAAAATCTCAATGACAGAACAAAATACGGCCTGTTTGACTTGTACTTCCACGTACTTGATTGACATGTTAAATTAAGAAACAAACAATTCTGTCCAACCGTTAACTCCCTTATCAATATAATATGTTAATTTAGAGGATTTCAAGTGCTAGTAGTGAAAAAAATAGTATATATACCACGGTAGAGAAGTCTATTATTGCCTTCGCCCCTTACCCCCCTCGGCGCAAGCGCCTCGAGATGTAATCTTGGTGCTCAGGCAATAATAGTGGACTTCTCTACCTTGATATATAATGTACTATTTTTATCAACTCTATTCCTTCTCGTAAACTGCACACTGCTGGTCTACCGGCTGCTGATTATTCTGATGTGAACACGGACGTCAACGAACAATTTAAATTTCAAGAAGTTAGCGAATCTTTTGTTCTAAAAATCATTATGGAATTAAAATCTAAGTCAATAGGTTCCGATCGCTCGGGATTGATATGATAAGGCTCTGCTGTCATTTTATTGCTCCCTATATCACTCACGTTGTAAATGAATGTCTCGTAAAAAGTACATTCCCCTAATTCCGATCCCTAAACATAGTATTCCTGAAACCTTCAGTGATCTGAGACCCATTAGCATTCTCCCAACTTACAGCAAAAGTACAATCGTCTCAAAACGGATCGTTTTATTAAAGAAGTGGAGTTTGTACGAACGTATAAACCACTAATTCAACCGCTTTCCCAGATCGTAAAGAAAATCGAACCGCTGTCATCATCATCGGTTATTGAGACGAAAAAGGAGGAGCCAGAGGACGAAGTATTTACATCACCCCCTAAAAAACCTCAATCTCCTGCAAAAAGAAAGTCATCACAACAACGTACGACCCCTGCGATACCTTATTACTCGCGAGTGTGAGACGAAGGCCCTCTTCCCTTACCGAGATCAGTCCGCTGGCTAGACTTCCCTACTTTCAAAAATATCCTCCAACTGATATTAGTCCTATGGTTAGACCATTTCATCCCACGGCTACTCCATCATTGAGACCGCCGCCATCATTTCTACAGAGTACAGTAATAGGAGAACATCAACCGGAGGAAGAAGAAGAAGAGTCCTCTATCGCATCATCATCATCTGTATCATTACTTGATACGCAAGCCTCGCGAGAGTTTTTGGAACAATACAAACACCTACCGCGTATATACGTCGAGCGCATGATAAGAGATACGAGTAATGCAATTGACACGACCTTTGGAATTCATTATAATGTTGAGACGGATAAGTGAATTATGGATGAACCTGTGATAATTAATGGTGACGATTTGATGATTAACGGCGTTCAATATAAGGGTACAGCAGGCCTATACGAACTTATCATTATGAATGAGCCGGATGAATCGCTAGTATCCAATCAGGATAGAAGTAACTATAAGCAGATAATAATAGCAACTCATGTCGCACGGCGCAATTACGATCCCACCGAACAGATTCGGGGCAATAAGAGCAAAAAGTATACGCTGATAATAAAGCCTCTACTAAAGGAGGAGGAAGCGGCGAATAGGGGGCGTGCGAAATCGGGAAGCGGTATTACTCTATTCAAGGAACTCGACCGGCCTATCGAATACAAATACTGGAATAGCGTGCATGAACTGATTAGGGATTTAGAGGTTTTATGGGGTGAAAAAATGGCAGGAAACACTGGAGTAAATAATGACGTAATATCAATTGTGGAAGAGATGTACGAGGAGGGTTACATACAAAAGCCCACGCAGCGATTTTTACGTCAATTAGTATAAATACCTCTTTTCCCTCTTTTTTGGTTACATTCGCCATGGATAAATTCGGACGTTCGCATACCCATGCCCAATTTGGAAAACTGCTAAAGACAAAATTTTCCATTACTGATGATACTATAAATGTGGAACGTAAAAGACTAAGACTCCTATTCTTGAACCGCTCGATAAAAATCGGTGAGTGGGTAACTTTGTCATCGGTGACTCACTCACTCACCAAATTCCGTATTCTTGACACTAATTGAAAACCGCTCGAGTTTGTCAACTTGGCACCACTGTATTCTCACTTTTTTCTCATGTCACTTGTTTGAATCTGTCAAATTGTGATTCATTGCGCTTGCGTTTGTAATTTATGCGATTTATTCAAATTTAAAATTAAAATATGTCTCGCGCTTCAGAAGAGCAAAAGCTGATACTTGTTCAGTTTTAAAAAAAAAATAAAAACGTGGCAGGGAAAACGTCACCTAATTTTACCAACAAAAATATACACGAGAAGTGGAAGACGGTTGCAGCATCTTTGAATAGCACTGGAGGGCCTTACAAAGATTGGAAAAATTGGCGAAAAGTAATGTTTTCATTAATATGCAACTCAATACCTTATTAAAGCTATATATATTGTTGCAATTTTAGACTTGGCAAGATTTATATTCTCGCGTAAAGGCGAAAGCTGCCAGAATCAACCGGTCAACAAACCAAACAGGTGGCGGTCCCCCCAGTGATGAAAAATTGACCACATTCGAGCAGGATATTGTGGACACTTTTATCAAGCCGGTAGTGGTAGAAGGAGATTCATTAATTAAAGAAAGTGTCTGCAATTTCCATGCGAATGATACAAGTATATAGGCTACGATTTTTTAACAACTTTCACGTTAAAATTTTTCCTTGTCCTTTTAGCCACATCCATGATCTCCAATTCCAGTGGTGCAATTGTTCATCCCATAATATTGAACCCTGTTGACGAAGTCGACATCGAGGTTATCAACATTGACGAGGTAACCAAAATCCCACCTACGCAACCCACGACATCCAAGAATCTAACCAGTTCAGCAGCTTCAGAAATTGTTAAAAAAGGGAAGAAGCGAACGGCAGAAGAATCGAGGGCGGAATATGCAGAATATTTGAATAAAAAATTAAAAATAAAAAAAGACTATTACGACGCAAAAATTGAGCACTTACGGCAACAAACTGTTTTAATGGAACAGCAACTCATTAATACACAATTGCTAGAATTAAAAAAACTTAAATATAGCTCCAACTAATGGTAATATGTAAAATATAACGACAAACGATTTTTATTGATAATTACATAATGATATAAATTTTCTAGTTGTATAATTACAAGTGCTGGGGAGCGGCTAATAAATTTTTCAGTGCATTTTCCTAAAAGAAAATTAAAGCTGTTGCCTGCACTTGGTCCATCTGGGCCACTACTACTCCTCCGTTTTAAGCTTTTTCTTCGTGATTTTTTTCTTATACAGTGTAGCACTGCTTCAAGACCAGATCGACAAAAGATTTTTTGGACTAGTCACTTCCTTCCTGAGAAAATACCTTTTCGTCGGTCTGTAGTGATTGTGTCTACTAGTTTATGATTATTCTATTGTGCACATTTGAAATGTACATCAACACATGTATTTCAGTAGGTGAGAACCTATTTTATACAGAATTTCTTATATAATCACACGCCAGCTCTAGTGATTATGACGATAAGTAATAAGCTAAACTAGAAAATAACTATACAAGCATTGATCTATATTAAATGTGAGTGATTCGTACAGAGGTTAACCACAAATGTAGCATACCAAAATATTCAAGGTCTAGTTTGATAAGATTTCACGAATTCTGTTTTATGAAATATTGTCAAGCCTATAGCAATTCATTCACATTTACATTGTGAAAAATATGCCAGATTTTTATGAAAATATTAATTAAACATAATTGCTCTCTCAAACGACTTTTAACAAATTAATTATTTATGAATCGGCCAGCAATCAGTGCAGTCCGGACTCTACGTCCTTCAACCAGTTCAGGATTAATGTAATGTGCTGCTGCTGGTTCTTCATTTTCCATGTCCATGTTAAACAGTCCTGTAATCATAAGCTTTAGAAACATTGCAAAAGCTAAGTAATGTAAAGTCTCACCGTCATTAATGTCCTGATTATCAAACTCATCCAGATCCTCCACCAAATTGCGCTCCATACAAATATTATGCAAAACTACACACGAATTTATAATTAGAGCTGCCCTATGAGGGGAATAATGTAAAACTCGATGTTTCAAAAGACACCGGAACCTGCTTTTCAAAACACCGTTGCAGCGCTCTATGGAAGCCCTTGCGCGTTTATGGGCACAGTTGTAATTGTGTTCTGGTGTACCCTCTTCAGGTTCAACTTCCAAAGGTGTTAAAAGCCAAGGCCGTAAAGGATAGCCACTATCTCCTACAAAAACGTACAACACGTTTTATCATTTCATTGATTTTATTGAGAATGTACTAACCAAGTAAAAAATAGGTTCCTCGTCTCTCTGCATGGATGGTACGCATTACCTCTTGGACATTAGAATTATTCCAAATGAATGCATCGTGGGTACTTCCAGGATGAGATGCTTTTACGTTCAATATCTTAAGATTTGAATCGCAAATGAGCTGAACGTTTATCGAATGAAATCCTTTGCGATTTATGTACAAGTGTCCTGGTCGATCGGGATCTTCCGCGGGGGGCGCCACAATTGCCACGTGAGTACAATCTATACAGCCGACAACACCAGGGAAGTTGTACTTTTCGAAAAAACCCATTCGTACTCGGTCCAGTTCCTCGAAGTTATGAGGGAATCTTACAAATCGATTGAAAATCGCTGGGACATTGAAAGCATCGCTCACTTCACTGATGCATCGACTTACAGTCGGTTGGGAGACAGACATGAACAAGTTGGAGCCTACATCCATCTGATAAGATCCCGAAGCAAAAAAGCGTAATGCAATCAATATCTGCCATATAAGAAAAGAAACCAATAAGCTGTAAGTGGAAAATTTTCTTTACTTACACGAATGGGAATCTCCAAATCTGAAGCTCGATTTGTTGGTCTCATATGGGGGGACAACACCTCCACAATAATCCTAAACAGTTCCTTGGGAAAACGAAACATGTTTTTAAACTGGACATCGCTAAGAATGGCAATTGCGTCAGCCCGGGGTCTTTGAACACGGACAACTTCTTCTGCTTCCTCTTCGGCGTCCAGCAAATCCAACATAACCAGTTCGTCCATTTTAATTTCTTGAATGAATCTTTATATACTTAGCAAAACTGTGGTAAAAACAGAGGTGTAGAAATTGTACACTTCACACGGATTATGCACACTTTCGCGAGCAAAATGATAATCGTTAAAAAGAAGGAAGTTTAATAAACAGTTTCGTATAAATAAATAATAAAAATCGCCTAGAAATCACAGGAGAACGAGCACGAAAATTTATCAAAAGCGAGGTTAGATTTCATTCATAAATCATATAAACACTGAGAAACGACAAGGTGAAGGATGCATAAAATACTCACGAAAAGCGTGACGGTTTTATTTATTGCCTATACTTTAGGAAAATATACGAGTAAGATCACCAAAAATCAGTTTAAAAGGATCGCACAACTCAAGTCACTGAAAAAAAACTGATCGACTGAAAGCGCTCGACATGTGACAGTGTGAGTCACCCACTCGAACGGTTTAAAGCGTCAAGAATACGAAA